CGGGGGGGGGCCTGGGTCACCGCTGGGGCTGCAGCACTGCACCCTGGACCCTCGCCTCCAGCCACAGGGTCAGCTGGTCACGCGCTGCTGGGAGGAGATCCCCTCGAAAGAAGAAAAGAAAAACTAAAGGGCAAGCTGGGAGGAATGACCGACGGCCCCGGCACAGAGACTGGACGGCAGTGCGGGAGGAGGCGAGAGGGCTGTGTGTGACGGGCGGCTTCCAGGTTCCGGCGGAGACAGAAATAGGAGCGAGTGACAGGCCGGGGACGCGGCAGCTATTTATAGGCAGTCAGGCTGTGACTCATTACCCGCCTGCGAGAGAAATGAAGTCCCCACAAGGCAGACAGCCGCCCTGACAGGCAGGTGCCCGGGGGCACGGGGAGGGGGGCGCGATCACAGGGCTGCGGGGGGGGAGGGCGACTCCCCTTCCCCCCCCCGCCCCCAAAGCAGCAGCTTAGGAGGAGCAGGGCGGGGCTCCACATGGGGGAAGGTCAACCCTGACCTTTCGAGGCCTGCTGTCCATCTCGAGGGTCCTCCTGGCCCCGCCACCCTCAGGCTGGGTCCCTGGAGCCGGAGACACACCTGAGGTAAGGCCTCGATGGGGCCTTCGTGCAGCCGCCGAAGCAGCAACCCGTTTGAATCCCTGACACACCAGGGGCCACTGCTCACCCCTGGGCACCGAGCCAGGAACCTGGACGAAGATGGATTTGGCCCAACAACTTCCCCCTCACAAAAGAAGAACAGAGAGTTGCGGGTGAGGGGGGGCAGAAAGATCGCTGGGCTCCATGTGCTGCATGCACGGTCCCTGGAGCACTGAGCCAAGAGCACCCCCAGAGCACCACATGTGCCTGTGTATGCAAGGGGCCGGGACAGACCCTTCCCCAGGCCTCCAGGTATGGCCCTGGCAGCTTCACGTACTGCCACACTGACACCCCCCCACCAAAAAAAAAAAAGAATCGAGGCTTTATTTTTTTCATAGGCATCTTTCCCAGAATCACTAAGCTGATCTTTCCCTGGTAGCCACATAGAGAAAAGGGGGGGGGGGAAAGGTGCCTAACCAGGTTTTCCAGATTTTCTCAGTTAATTTCCAGGCCCACAGTCACCAGTGGGCTAAAGAGCAGAGAAAATTGTTCTAATCCTCCGCATTCTTCTTGGTTTTCTCTGCTGGCTTCGCTGGACTCCAAACAAGGGCTCACTTTCCATCCTGCAGAAATCCAGAATCTAGGACACCCTTGGGGTGTGGATGTTTTGAAGAATAGATACTCTTCTGGGATGGCAAAATACTCAAAATCAGCCATTTCTCAAAATTTGGGGGATTTCATTGACATTTGGACATGTACATCCACATTTTGAACAACTTAGGCAATTAACAAAAAACTTAAACAAACAAACAAGGGGCTGGAGCGATAGCACAGCGGGGAGGGCGTTTGCCTTGCATGCGGCCAACCCGGGTTCGATTCCCAGCATCCCATAGGGTCCCCCAAGCACCGCCAGGAGTAATTCTTGACTGCAGAGCCAGGAGTATCCCCTGTGCATCGCCGGGTGTGACCCCAAGAAAAAACAAAACAAAACACAAAACATCCTTTTGTCTCCAACTTATGCCTTATGTTAGAAATAAATTTCCAGAACATACATGTCAGAGAGAGGTATCTGTGCTGGACCCCACCCACCTTTTCTGGAAGGGCTGTCAAGGCTGCAAACATGACCGGCCGGGGCATTTTCTCCTCACTTTCCTGCCCGGGGCGGGTGCCCCAAGGGACCCAGCCCCAGCAGCCGAAAACCTCCAGAACCCAACCACCAGGACCTGAGCACCTTTTCCGAGTCCAAGCGCGCTGCCTCCGTGTCCATTCTCTTCACACTGCCACCTGGGCCCTGAGACAGTGGGCACACTGTCATGGCATATGGCATTTCCATGGCACAGTTTTATCTCTTAGAGCTGGCTGCTGGCCAGGACATCATCCTGAAGCTCCCCCGGGGACCGGGCAGATGTGTCACTGAGGCCAGACTGGCATGAGTCAGGGGCTCCGTGTCGCCAGTGCCCAGTGGGGTTTGAGACACAGGGAGAGCAGGGGCCGGCTGGCAGTGCCAACCCTAAACAAGTATTTCAGCAGAACGGCCAGTTGTTAGATGGTGCCAGCCTCAGCCTCAGCCCGGAGCAGGCAACAGAGACGGGAGTAGAAAACTGACGCGACCCCACCTGACCCCACCTGGCCTTTCACTTAGAGGAGGAAAGGTTTGTTTGGGAATCCTAGCTGCCTGAACAAAAATGACTTTATTTTTTCGGCAGGGGCAGGGGGAGGACGAAGGGGCACACCCTGCCAGGCGGATTGGGGCTGACTCCAGGCTCTACACTCAGGGGACCAGAGGGAGCACCAAGGACCCAACCCAGGTGGATCAGGTACACGGCAACCGCCCCAGAAACGGCTGACGGCCTCGCCCTCCCTCCCACCATGAAGCACAGGCTTGAGCCCCCCGCGCCCGACTCCCCGAGCACTCACCTCTCTGCGGCCCCAAGAAAGAGTTTCTGAGAGGCTAAAAGCCCCCACGGGAAAAGGTTCAACAGGGACGGTGGGAGGGCTGCTGAGTGTCAGGCTCACCCACGCGGGGCCGCACGGAGATCAACGGGCCCCAGAACCCGGGAGCCGCAAGCGCACGTTCCCAGGACCCAGAGACAGACTCACTGCTGGAGGCCAGAAGAGTCTCGAACCCGTGTATTTGGTGAAAGCTTATTTTGAGAGAGCTAAGGCCACCTCTGGCTGGCGCCACATAATCTCGTCATCGGCCACCATCCAGATCACATGTCCTTCTCTCCTGGAAGGGAGCATCACATGGCGCTGGCCATAACCACGTCACCGGGCCCTGTGCCAGGCTGCTTCACTTGTGCACCCACCCCGGAGGGGGCCAGGGGAGACCCCTCCCTGCCCCAAGGGACCCAGCCCCAGCAGCCGAAAACCTCCAGAACCCAACCACCATCATGCTCACGGCCGCTCTCCACACGGGCTGAGCCTCACCCACGAGTGAACACTTTCCTGGACTCTCGGCCGCATTCGCAGCCACGCACACTTCATCGGACATTCCCTCCCCAGACTCCAAGAGTACCACACCACTTTGGTGGGATTCAAAGTAGGAGGCAACCAACCTTAGAGGGAAATATTCTATTGCTTCGAGTTACGCTTTGGGGCAGGGACTGGGGGACAGAATGATAACACCCAAACTATGGTGATGGGAAGGTGTAATGGTGGTGGGATTGTGAACTACTTTATAAAATAACTGTCCTGTCCTCCCGCTGTTCATCAATTTACTCGAGCGGGCCCAGTAACGTCTCCATTTCGAGACTTTGTTCTTACTGTGTTATTGAATACGTCACGGGTAGCTTGCCAGGCTTTGCCGTGCAGTGAAATACTCTTGGTAGCTTGCCGGGCTCTCCGAGAGGGGCGGAGGAATCGAACCCGGCTCGGCCAGGTTGGCTGCGTGCAAGGCAAACGCCCTACCAAAAAATGCTGGCTGAAATTCTGGGTTTGTTTTCAAAGGAGAGGTGGCTTTCAAATATTGTACATGAAAAAAAAATCCCTATATTTAGGGATGTGTGTATACAGAAAAACTTCAAACGTACAAATTATTAGGAAAAAAGATAAAAGGAAAATGTGATTCATTAAGTGGATTTATTAGGTGATGGGAATTCTGTCCCCTATTTTTTTAAAAAAATGTTTTTTTGGGACACACCCAGAGATGCTCAGAGGTTATTCCTGGCTCTACACTCAGTAATCACTCCTGGCAGCGCATGGGGGACCCTATGGGATGCCGGGGATCAAACCCACGTTGGCTGCATGCAAGGCAAGCATCCTCCCCCCTGTACTATCACTCCAGTCACATCCCTTTTATTTTAATATATTTTTAAAATTTTAAACCATGGCCCACGACTGCCTCCAGCTGACCCTGCCTCCACACTGAGGGAGTGGCCATCCAGAACCACGGCCAGCACTCCTGAGGTATCATCCTTGCTATCATCTTTTTGCTAAAAGCAAGCGGGAAAAAGAACTACTGGCCTGTTTTTGGTTGAAAGACGAAGTTTGTAAAAAGGGTTTTTTTTTTTTTTAAATAATTCCTAAGAGACTTATTCTATCCTACTTCTAGAGTTTTCTTAAAGTTGGAAAGTTTCAAATATGAGAGTGTTAGGGCCAGATAGAAGATTCTGTAAAATCCCGAAGGATGAGAAAGGGATACTCTGTTTAAAATTTCAAATATGAGACAATGCTAGGTCTAGATTGAGTGAAAATTTTCATCTCATATTTGAAATGTTTAGCAGGTCCAGACTGAGTGAAAAGGATTTTGCTGAGGGATAACAAAGGAATACTCTTTGTTTAAAAGCACATTCCAGGGGGTAGCAAACGATTTCAGCTCCTCGTAGAAGCAGCACAGATGATGCTAACAGCTGCTCGGGGGTGGGGGGGTGGAGAATCTTGTCCCTAACTCTGTGCCCACCTCAAGCTCGGCCCGGAGTTAATAACCTCTAAAATGGAACTTGGCCGCTTCTCTGACTCTGCCTGGCCGGCGGCGAGAGTTGAGCCAGTGGCTGGCAGGGGCACCATCTGATGGGGGAACGGAATACACAAATTCACAGTTTCAGCCCCAAGACGGCAGCGAGGGAGGCGAGACTCGCCTCTGCCCCCTCCCTCTCCCCTCTGGCCGAAGTTCCCTCTGACTTCACCCGCCAGGCACCTGACCCTCCCGGACGCGCGGGAGGGGCGCAGCCCCGCGTGGCCGGGGTGGGGGTGGAGGTCCAGGCAGCAAGCAATATTTAAGATGCTGAGTTTCCAGAGAGAGCATCCCCGGCGAGGCGACACGGCTCCAAGTTTCCAGGGCAGCTGACGAGGACCAGCGAGAGCGAGCAAGGAAAGCCACCAGGCGCCGGGCCCCGGGAGCCCAAGGGTGCGATTTCAGCTGGCCGGGACCACGCCGCGCACCCCTTCTCGGCCCTTCCTCACCCGGGCCCGGGCACGATGCCGCAGCGCAAGGCTCACCTCGCCAGCCCTTGGCTCTGCGTTCTCCTCGTGGCGTCCGTCGCCCACCCGGTCTGGTCCCAGAAGCCCCCCAAGCGCAAGAGCCCCGCCCAGCTCCAGGCGGCCGCCTGCTGCGAGGAGGTGCAGGAGCTCAGGGCGCGGGTGGCCAACCTCAGCCACGCGCTGGGCGAGCTGGGCGAGAGGCAGCAGCGGGACTGGGTGAGCGTGGCCATGCAGGTCACGGAGCTGGAGGGCCAGGCCAAGCGCGCGGCGGCCCGGCTGGCGGACGCGGAGGGCAAGTACTCGGAGATGCACGAGCAGATGGGCCTCATGCAGCTGCAGGCGGCCCAGACCGTCACGCAGACCTCGGCCGGTGAGGAGCAGGGGGGCCCGGGAGCGCCGCCCCCACTAACGCAGGCGGCTGTCCGCCGCCGCCCGAGGGTTCTCTGGGGTTCCTTTCCTGGGCCCGCGCCATCCGCTCTGTACTCCTACGTGAAGGCTGGGGGTGGGGGGTGCTGATTCCTGATCGGCTGTAAATCTACCCAGAACCTTTTCCTTGATTCCCACAGTGCTCTGTAATACTGAAGGCATGAATCTTGGCGCCCAGCGAGATGATGTGGTTTATCCAAAATCAAAGAGCAGATCTCAGAACCTCAGGGTTTCAGAGGAGACGTCTCGGGAATCATGGGATCTGAGTCTCCCTGTTTTGGAAGTCGGCGCTCAGGGGCCCGACCTGGCGCTGCAAAGCTGTCCCCCCAGTCCCCAGGAAGCAGGAAGGAACCCAAACCATACTCTCTGTTGCTCTGGAAGCCAAGTTTTGCCAGCAATAGCCTCGGGGCCTCTAGGGCGCAGAGCGGGAACTAGGGAACGAAGGGTGGTCGGAGCCTGACCTTCCCGCCAGCACAGTGCCAGGACCCACAGTGCCCGCCACCTAGAACTCCCTGGCTTCCGGAGAAAGTGTCCTCACGATTCCTCAGTTCTGGGAATTCAATTTTTTTGCCATAATATCAAGTAAATTCTCCCCCTGCCCCCCAAGCAGGTGATAAAAGGTAATCAGGGTCGGCGAGGTTACAGGGAGGTTAGGGGGTGCCTGGCCTGTGGCTCCCAGCCAAGGGGAGAGGTGATCTCTGAGAACCGCCAGGTGTGCTGCCCCCCCCCCGCCCCCGCAAAAGAAGAGGAAAAGAAATGCTGAAACAGGAATGTTTAGCAGGTCCAAAATAACACTCATCTAATGATTAGTTTTCCTTTGTGAAATAACTTTCCAGTTTCAAGTTGACCTGGCTCAGAAGGGCGGGGGTGAACTAATTTACCGTGCAGAGGCAAAACAGGTGCCCTGGAAAAATCAACAGGAAACTGAAGAGTTGCAGAGCTGCAAGGAAAGTAGCCCATAACCATGCCATTCCTTGCCGAGATAAAAACATTCAGTCACAGCAAAAACCAAGCCAAGAACAGAGTAAGTCATTGTTGCCCCTCAGTTCAGGGGAAAAGCTTTTTAAAAACTTTCTGGGTTTGGGGGCACACTCTGGGAGCCTCGGGGGTTCCCCTGGCAGTCTCAGGGAGCTATCTGCGGTGCCAGGATTCGAACCAGGGTTGCAGATGCTGTAGCCACCTGCAAAGCAAGTGCCTTCCCTCCTTACCATCTTTCCAACCTCTCTCAAACTAGAGGTTTGGGGTGTTGTGTGTGTGTGTATGCTTTTTTTTTTCTGAGTTTTTTTCTGTTGGGTCACATCTGGTGATGCTCAGGGGACCATATGGGATGCGGGGGATGGGACCCAGGTCAGCCGTGTGCAAGACAAACGCCCTCCCGGCTGTACTATCGCTCCTGCCCTCAAACCAGAGTTGCAACAGAAAATCAAGCTTTATAGTCCCATTACCAAAGCTGTAAGTGAAAATTCCTTTCTACGCACGTACTCTCTGGCCCTCGGTTCGGGGCTAGGAAGAAATTCCCAGACTATTTCCCAGAGAAGTGAGTCCGGACTGGATCGGAGAGGAAAGCCCGTCCTGAGGTGCCTGCATGCCCGGCACCTGGACACGTCCTGCCCCTCCGCTTCCTCCCACCTCGAGGGCAGCTCCCAGCAGGCCTCTTCCTGCCCGCCACACTCTTTCCCAATCTGTTCTCAGGTGCTGGCTCACGTTTATACCCTGTAGGTAGGATGCCCTCAAACACAGCAGGAAACCGGTGTTTTCAGCAGCAACAGGAAGTGACCCACTCTGATGGCTAGTTCTTCTCCCACTTCTACTGCTCAGCCCGGGCTGATACTTGGTGCTCATCTCTACAGCCCAGAGCAGTGACCACCAGAATCGAATCCCCAAACACAGCAGAGGAAGCAAACACAGCCAGAACAAAGCAGAAGCCGCAGGGCAGCTGGGAAACCCCTGAGGTCGGGTCCAGAGTGAAGCCCTCAGCTCGGGGTCTCATAGCCCTGATTAACTCAGCCAGGGAGCTGCGTGTCCACCTCCAGCTGACCCATCGAGGGGGAAGAGCCAAGATATTAAAATCTGTCTCCCCTAACTGCATCCTACGAGGCAAGAGCCCTGACTCTGGGAAGTCCACAAAAAAAACGTACAAAGAACCGAGAACCAACAAGCCCAGATGTGGGACCTCCCAGGTGGGAAGGAGCTGTCCCAGAAGCCCACCCTAATAGGCGGGGGCTCTCATCGGGATGGACACATTCCAGTGTTTCTAGAATTCTCAGGGAGCTACAGCAGGCCCCTGTGACCGCCGGGCGAGGCCATCAGGACAAGCACCACCAGCGCATGCCTGGGTGTGGCCCCAACAAAACAGGATCCTTCCCTGCTAGCCTCCGCAGACCCCCCTCAGCCAGGGTGTTCAATACTGACTCGGGTGTGCGCTGGGGGGGAGCTGAAGTCTGTCCGAACCCTGCCGCTAGGGGGCGCCGGCGCTCAGCCTGCACTCTGGTCCCTTTGCAGATGCCATGTATGACTGCTCCTCCCTCCACCAGAGGAACTACCGCATCTCAGGCGTGTACAGGCTTCCTCCGGACGACTTCCTGGGCAGCCCAGAGCTGGAGGTGAGACGGGGCTCCGTCACAGCCCACTCTAGGCCGTAGGCAGAGACCCAGAGAGCCGAACAGCAGGGAGCGGGGCAAATGCCGTCTATGGGCAACTAAGCCCAGGCACCTCCGGGCCCTCATGTCCCGGCCAGCTCCACTGCGTTTCCCGGAGTCCCCTCACTGCCCGAAAGTCTGCTGTGTCTTAGTGGGAGGAGAAAAACAGTATGAGGGCGCCGATCGCGGTACCTGCAATCTGCCCCCCCCCCAAAGCCCCCTGCCATCACCCTCAGGCTCAAGCGCTATGGGTGCCCAGGAAGCCAGTGAGGCGCCCCCCCCCCCACGTCTGGCTCTGCAGGAGGGTCAGCGGGCCAGCCCCCCCGCATGCCCTGACCTCCCGTCTGCCAGGTGTTCTGCGACATGGAGACCTCGGGCGGGGGCTGGACCATCATCCAGAGGCGCAAGAGCGGCCTCGTCTCCTTCTACCAGGACTGGGCGCAGTACAAGCAGGGCTTCGGCAGCATCCGCGGGGACTTCTGGCTGGGCAACGAGAACATCCACCGGCTGTCCAGACGGCCGACCCGGCTGCGCGTGGAGCTGGAGGTGAGCAGGGCCCCCCCCACCCCCGCAGTGCAGCTGAGGAGGAACAGGCTTTCCCGACCCCTTTATTCGGAAACAAAGGTTAGACTGCAGGAGTACAGAAGAGGCTGATGCCGGTCGTGCACAATGCAGCTGTCTGCAGAGCCCTGGGCCCTGCCCTGCCCGGGCGCCACGCAGGCCGTGCACACCGCAATGACGCTGATGGGTGGCCCTTGCCAAAGACCTTCCCGCGCCACTCTGTCTGCAACTGCCTTTTCTTTCTTCCCTCTGCGGGAAGCAGAGCAGGCCGGGGTGCTCCGAGGCTGCTCCCGCTCAGCGCATGGGAGCAGTTCCCAGAAATGCAGTGCTGGGGTCCAAAGCCTGGCCCCAGCCCACCTAGCTGAGCTATTTTTCCGGGCCCCTCAATTGTGCTTTTGAGACCTCTGAGCAGGACGGAGCAAAATCACATTTCTACAACCTCCAAGGCCGGGTGAGGGAGGGACGTGGTAAGACAGACTCACAAGGCCACAGAACTGAGCCGAGGACCCCGGGAGAGTGGTGAAACCTTTGCAGAGGGCGGCAGGGCAGAGCGTGGCGGCGGTGGCCTGAGACCCGCCCGGCCCTGCAGGACTGGGAGGGCAGCGTGCGCTACGCCGAGTACAGCCACTTTGCTCTGGGCGACGAGCTCAACAGCTACCGCCTCTTCCTGGGGAACTACAGCGGCAGCGTGGGGAAGGACGCCCTGTTCTACCACAACAACACGGCCTTCAGCACCAAGGACAAGGACAACGACAACTGCTTGGACAAGTGTGCCCAGCTGCGCAAAGGTGAGTTCCCAGCTCCGCCAAGGGGCGGCGGGGGGCGTTCCCTCCGGGCGGGCGCAGAGGCTTGCCCTCACTGGCGCGTCTCGGCCCAGGGGGGTACTGGTACAACTGCTGCACGGACTCCAACCTCAACGGCGTCTACTACCGCCTCGGGGAGCACGCCAAGCACCTGGACGGGATCAGCTGGTACGGCTGGCACGGGGCGAGCTACTCCCTCAAACGGGTGGAGATGAAAATCCGCCCTGAAAACTTCCAGCCTTAACGGGAGGCGTGCTGTGACGCAGGCCGGAGACGCGGGGACGAGGGTCTGGGCCGGGGCCGGGGAGGAGGGCAAGCCTCCGCAGGGACCAAGGACACTGCCGAGGGGCGTCAAGGCATCAGGCCTGAGACACAGTCGAGGCGGGAGGGAGCCTGCCCGGGCGAGGGCAGACTGTTTCCTTGCAAGGAAAATGAGACCATTTCACCTATTTGCTCTAAGACCCAAATTACATGAGGTTACATGAGGACAGAACTTTTTTTTTTTTGCTAATATTAAATCTGATTCTCAAAGGCTGGCATGGGTGCCAGAGAAAAGGGCGAAGGGGCTGTAGGGGAGCCAAGTTCCTCTTTTAAACTAAACGAATTAGCTTTTAGCTTACACACTTTTGGAGACAAACTTGCTGGAGGTGAGCTGCCCAGGCTGCACTGGCTGGCAGCACTCGGGCACTCCCCTGCGCCCGGGCTCGCACAGGGCGCCCCCAGGGAGGACAGCCGGGCAGGCCGGAGCCGCCTGCTCCCGCACCCCAGGGCACTCGTCACCTGGAGCAGCTCCATTCACCCTGTCGGAGGGTGGCTCAAAGAGCCCCTTTGCCCATCTCGTTTAACAAAGGTTTCTGAAAGCTGAAGTAGACGTTCTGCTGATGAATAACTCACTGCTGTACGTGAGCATCTTGCTTGGTAAAAATAAAATATTGTACGTTGCTTTACATGTTCAAAGTCTCTTTTTTCATTTATAATATACGCTTATTTGTTGTAAAAAAAATAGAAACAAGACAAGACAAAAACTCTTGTCATTGCTCCTGAGGTCCTGGCAAATGCACTCTAGAAACTTCCGCCGAGGTCTGGGCGCAGGGAGACGGCTCAAGAGAGCACCTGAGCAAACACTCCCGCTTTCTACCTCGGCAAATTCACACGTCCGAGAAGGAAGCATGTTCCGCTGTAACGGACACCAAATCATCTTGACCTTCAAGAAACATTTTTCCAGGGCCGGAACGATAGTTCTGCGGGGAGGGCGCTTGACTTGCCTAGGGCCGACCTGGGTTCGATCCCTGGCACCCCACACAGTCCCCCAAGCACTGCCAGGAGTGATTCCTGAGTGCAGAGCCAGGAGGAAGCCCTGAGCGTCGCTGGCTGTGGCCCCAAAACAAACAGAAAAAGAAACCTTTTTCCTTCACAAAACCCACTCACTGTACCAGTCTGTTAAGGTACGCCATTGTCCTAATTCACTATTTTCTATTAAAACTGCAGTTCTTGACTGTTGAGAATCCACAGTACCTGAACGTGAAGATTCATGAGAGAGAGAGAGAGAGAGAGAGAGAGAGAGAGAGAGAGAGAGAGAGAGAGAGAGAGAGAGAAAGCAAAGGAGCTGAGTTGTCTGCTGACTTGTGCCATGCTAGGTTCAATCCCAGGCACCAGCGCTGATCCCCCAAGTACCCCAGGGGTCATTCCTAAGCGCAGAGCAGGGCAGCCCCAAGCGTTTCCAGGCTCTGCCTAAACTACCCGCCCCCAGCCCCCCACCCCCCACCCCCATCTACTGCCCAAAAAACGAAGAACGGTAGGATCTTTTAGAACTCAAATGAATACAAAAGCATGCTGGCACAGGACCTCCCGTGGGACAGACAGTCAAGTGACACTTCCTCAGGCAGGCAGGGGAGTCGGGGCTCTCGGCAGCTGGCACGACACCGTGGGCAAGGCGAGGACAGCGGCCCTGAGGACCACAGGGAGGCAGACACGGGAAGAGAGCACGGGAGCAGCTAATTATCTCTCTCATCTCCAGCAGCAAAAGCCACGACAAATGGAAACTGCCTCTCACCAAGGCTCCAAACGACAAAGGGAACAGTGAGCTGGAGAGAACACACAGAACAGGGGAAGGCCGCCTTATGACTACGGAGGCCAAAGGACTCCATGCCCGGAATGTCTAAGCAACACAGCAAACACAGGCTGAAGAATGAGCCGCGCAGGCCGACAGCCAGCAGGCATCCACAGGTGCTCCCGGTCACCTGTCACCAGGAAACGTCCACCCTCAGAGAGGGGTGGCCCGACTCCGTTCCCAAAAGGGCAGGCTGGCAAGAACGTGCGGAAAGTGCCGCGTGTGCCCGCTGGGGGGACCCACGAGAGAAAGCGGCCAAGGCGTCCCGGAAAGGAAAGCGGAGCCTCCCTGAGCAGCCCCAAGCACTGAACTTAGCCCCTGGGAACCACCGGGTGTGGCGCCCACTCCACCGCCCCACTCTCCCTGGCATGACCCTCGCGCACTCGAGGGGGCTGGGTGTGTTGTGTGGGAGCGTCCTGGACCCCGACTTCCCTGGGACCCGGGTGCGGCCAGGGGCACCCGCCTTCCTAGGCATGACAGATTAACTGGCCTTGATCTGCCGATGGCTGACGGCAAGAGAGAGGGAGACACCTCTGGGTGCCAGCGAGGCTTCACCCTTGCCTCGCCTGCCCCTGGGTCCCTTCCTAGCTGTGACAGTGCCTGCCTCCCTGCGCCACCTGCTGTCACGGCCTTCCCGGCGGCCCTGTCTAACCATCACCTTCCTGATGAGCTGCTCACGTGACTAGAGCCCCTGGCCCATGTGGGTGACCATGGCATCCACTGCCCCCGATGGACGGAGCGTCCCCACGGTGACGAGACGCCTGCACGCCCCCATCCCAGCGACTCTCCACGGCCCAGCAAGCCCAGCCCTGCGTGGACACGGGGGCAATGAAGTGAGACCGTTCACTGAGGGACGGGGGCAGCTCTGCGGGACAGCACTGCCCTGGGACCCTGAGGCTCGGGCCGAGCCGACCCGGGCGTCGCCGTGAATGTGGAGCCCTGGTGCCAGTCTCCACACGGGGCTTGGCACAGTGCACCAGCCTAAGTATGGAACCTTCAAACAACAATGCGGGGGACTGGTGGTAAATCATTAAACTATAGCACAGTGGGTAGGGCATTTGCCGTGCACGTGGCCGACCCAGGTTCAATTCCTCCGTCCCTCTCGAAGAGCCTGGCAAGCGACCGAGAGTACCCCGCCTGCACGGCAGAGCCTGGCAAGCTCCCCATAGTGTGTTCGGTATGCCAAAAACAGTAACAACAAGTCTCACAATTTGTTGTGAGATGTTACTGGTGCCCGCTCGAGCAAATCCATGAACAGCGGGAGGACAGTGCTACAGTGCTACCTCTTTGAAAAGAGAGAGAGAAAACATACATGGAGATACGCTCACCACAGCCTGCCACACCCTGGGCACTGAGGCAGGACGGGCGGGCGGGAAGAAACGGCCTGGCGGCGGGGAAGCCGCAGTCCACTGACCTAGTGCCGGCTCTCGCTTTCATCTTTAACTCTGCAGCTGTGTCTGTCAGGCAAAGGTTGTTTTTGTCGGTTGTTCGCTAGTCTCAGGGCCATACCTGGGGGTGCTCAGGGCTTACTCCTGGCTCTGCGCCCAGGGGAGGAGAATGGGGATGGGGGGCTGAACCCTCCCGCTTACTATTGCTCTAGACCCAGAAACAAGTTGGAAGCAGAAGCTGCCAAGTAAGGCGTCCCGTTTGCCCTGACTCTCCTCTGCTCACAGGGGCAGGGAGATGATAAGCGGGTGCTGCGGCTGCCATGTGTGTCTTCACTGATTCCTCTGTACAAGCCTAATTCCCAAAGCAAGGGGCTTTGGAATAGCGAGTGGGACACGACAGACTGTCCCCGGGGTGGGGTCACGGCTCGTAGGAGAGGCAGTACAGCAATCAGGGCGTCTGCCTTGGCGTGGCTACGGTGCCTACACGCCAGGTCGAATCTCTGGTACCACACAGTTCCCTCAAAGCACCGCTTTGTGCTCAGGGGAACGAGGTGGGTGCCAGGCCGGGGATCAAAGCCGGGTTGGGTGTGTGCGAGGCAAATGCCTCCCCGGCTGCGCTGTCTCTCTGGCTCCGAGAGGTGGTGAGATCTTAGGAGCGAGGCTTATACTTGCTTGCGGCCTGCCCCCATTTCTCTGGATGTCCAGAGCACAGATCATGCATGGTTTCGGCTAGAGCCCGATTCTGCCAGAGGCTGAATCCCGTGCCCCGTCTCATCTGCACACAGCTTAGAGGATATTTGGATGAGGCTTTCGAATTAACGCTAGAACAAGTCAAAACTTCGGGAGGATGGGCTGGAATCAATGCATCCTGCACGTAAGGGCACGAATTGGGAGCGTGGACCAATACTGGGGACCGAATGCTTGTATCCCCCAACTATGACGCCAGAGGCTAATTCCCAGTGTGACGGTATTTGGGGCGTCTCATGAATTACTGCTCTGCGGAAAGAGATCCAAAGAGGTGGAAGTTTGCTCTCCACCCTGCGAGCACACGGGGGCATCAGCAGCCAGCCTGACAGAACCCCTCCCCGGGGGCTGCCCTCGACCCCCGCAGGGCCCCGCCTCCAGAGCAACGCCCTGTCCCGTGAGTGCTAACGGGCTGGCTGCTGCAGTCAGGAGTGTCTGTCACAGCCGGCCAGACGGTCTCAGACACAAGGCAGCGGATCTCCCCCGATGCCACCCCAGCAAACGCCTGTTCCCCGAGAACTGAGCACTCATTTCCTCCTCCGCTCCCGCAGAACCGATCACACGCGCTGATAAACCTCAGGGCTGAGGAATGGGAAGAGTTTAAATCGTTCCGCGTCCTAGCCTGGGGGTTTTATGAGGGATTTAATTTGTCCGGGGGCAGATCGGTAAAAATATCAACATGCAGGAAGACAGACTGAGCAGCGCAGTCAGCAATCGCAGCTTTCTGAAGCAAAATCAAAACCTGGACGGCAGTTTTGCCTCATGATGGCAGAACTCTGAACGATGCTGAGGAAAAGAAAGGTGACAAAATCAACACGAAAAGCTGAAAATAGAAATGAGAGAGACGGGAGACTTGGGCGAGAGAATCTGGTTAGCCAGCAGAAGGGAGGCGAAACTCCAAGCGGAATTCAATCAGACTTGCAATATTCATAAAGCTCAAAGCGCTGGCTCTGCGTTGAACAGAAGCTTGTTTGGTTTGGTTCCATTTTATTTGTTATCTGTTA